AAGCACCGGTTTCATGCCCAGGCTCTGCTTGTACCAGAACATTTTCTGCCCAACCTTGATTTGTGAAAAGCAATGCAACGTGATGTTATCTGCCACAGTCGCTGAGAGATACCTGCCACTTCCTTGTTGCTGCACAGGTTCCATTTTAGCTGAAAAGGCAAAAATTATCGTACATTATCAACGGCGTGTAACAATTGTTTATACTTCTTTCTGGCACGATTCAAACACAAGGAAACTCAAAGTGCTGAAAAAAAAGAGATAGAAATCCACAATCACACAAGATTTAAATATAATCACTTAAATAATCACAGTACATTAAAAACAATAAAGATACAATCCTTGAGTTGTGTAACAGAGAAACAGAACAGTTTCTAACTCGGATTAGAACATTGTGTGAGTAAAACTTACCGATTCTCACCAGCGAGAGGCTGAAGGCGAAGACAACCTGAAAGATCATGTTTGAAGGTCGTAGAGAACAATGAAAGTCACCGACAAAGTCTTTCCTCTAAACGGTAGAGAAGGCATTTGATTGGCTGACAGTTGGCAGAAGGCAGGGAAAGATCTCAAAGCTGCAGGGACCACACTGTGGAGAGGCAAAGGTGACAAAGGAAGACATGAATGAATGAGTAAAAGTAAAAATTGGCAAAAAATGTGTATATTCTTATCTCAGAATTTGATCTTTATTGCTTTTGAATCTGCTTAGTACAAAAGATAAAAAAAAAACACATTTTTGTTTGTATTTATTCATGTATTGCTTAAAGCTGGAGTACCCTAATGTTGCTGTCCCATGAATACAGAAACAATCTGTATTTATGTATTTCTTAAAGGTGACGTCTGCAACTTCAAATACATTTACATCTCATATGAATACATATTTCTGATCATCTAAGTGTAGTAGTTTCCCTGATACATATATTAAAACCAGTCCCTCGGTATAAACACCGACAGTAAGATTTTAAAGGACAATAGTTTTACCAAAGGGGAGGGGCCTCAGCTGTCTATCAAAGATTTGAATTCACTGCATCCAATCAGGAGCCTGTGGGGGCGGGTCTAACTGAAAAACCTCTCACAGTTTGAAAAGTCAATGACATTCACTTAAAGTAACATGTGACTAAAGTAACATTGTGTCTTTTGGAGGAGATCAGTCGTCAGTAATCAGTAAGCACTTTTGGAGGTGGTCAGTTATCCATGAATGAGTGAGGGTTGATGGGCACTAAGATCAGAAACAATATAATATATTCCACGCAGAAACGATCAATGAGAATTCTGCTCTAACACCGCACTGGTGAATGTCTGTGTCGACCTTCAATCTGCAAACACATCCTGAAGGCCTTTTTCACGCTCATCTAGACTCATTACAAGCTAAGTGACAAATGCCTCTGTAAGTTATGATTGTGTTGATTGTTGCTTACAGTCCAGAAATATTATACATTTCTGAGGTGTTATATTTGGGTTTTTTACTCAGTTGTTAACAAAATAACAAATACAGGTTTGAAATGCCTCACGTTTGTCCAAGGCTGGCATGTCCAAGCTCAGGCCCGGGGGCCAAGTGCGGCCCTCAGTTTAAATGTTTGTGGCCTTCTGCCTCGCTAGCCCACAGTATACTATGAGATCATAAACACAAGTTCACAGTGTCATCCCTCCAACTTCAGCTCAGTCTGTTTAGACATGTCGTAACTCGTTCTAAAGCCCAGTATGTCTAGAGTTCATGCGTTAACTTGTGAGCTGGTGAGATGGTAAACATTTGTCATTCAGCCAACTTCAGCTCCATTAAAGATCAGAACAGCCCGATGCCAGTCATGACGTCAGCTCGCTGGACTAGTCTGGTGAACTAAAGTGGCCCTCCTGAAATGTTTGGACACCCCGTGTCTAAGAAGTCTGTCATATACAGTGCCTTGCGAAAGTATTCGGCCCCCTTGAACCTTTCAACATTTCGCCACACTTCAGGCTTCAAACATAAAGATATACAATTTTAATTTTTTGTCATGAATCAATAACAAGTGGGACACAATTGTGAAGTGGAATGAAATTTGTTGGATAATTTAAACTTTTTTAACAAATAAAAAACTGAAAAGTGGGGCGTGCAATATTATTCGGCCCCTTTACTTTCAGTGCAGCAAACTCACTCCAGAAGTTCAGTGAGGATCTTTGAATGATCCAATGTTGTCCTAAATGACTGATGATGATAAATAGAATGCACCTGTGTAATCAAGTCTCCGTATAAATGCACCGGCTCTTCGATAGTCTCAGGGTTCTGTTTAAAGCGCAGAGAGAACCATGAAGACAAAGGAACACACCAGGCAGGTCCGAGATACTGTTGTGGAGAAGTTTAAAGCCGGATTTCGATACAAAAAGATTTCCCAAGCTTTAAACATCTCAAGGAGCACTGTGCAAGTAATTATATTGAAATGTAAGGAGTATCAGACCACTGCAAATCTACCAAGACCCGGCCGTTAGGGTTTAATATTTTTCCCGAAAATAAGACGTATCAAATCCCGGGAAAAGACGGCGCGTTTCCCGGGAAATCCCGGGAAATAGCTGTTGTTTGTAGTTGTTGTTTTTAGCCCAAGTAATGTGTGATATCACTCAAATATATAATCCAACAAAAGCTGCCATCTCCACTAGTATTTCACCAAGCGACTTGCTAGCTTTGCTAAAGTAGCCATAGCGTTTTCAGACGTTTTGTTGATGGGCTTTCTTCAGGAATTTCACTATTATGAGATTCTAAATGTCTGCGCAATCCACTTGTCGACCAGTGACGTGCGGTGTGGTTTGGAGGCACTGACTTCAGCCCTGTCAGATGAACATATATCATATAAATCAACAGAACCTGCAGAGCGGCTTATTCACAATTAGTTTGGCTACAGCAGAATGTTTTCCATGCCCGCATTGTTTGCTCAAACAAAACGCAAAAGTTCGTAAAAGGCACATTTCCAATTGTGTTATGGGTCTTACCTTAGTTATTAATGAACAGCACAGACCACTTCGGTTCAGACCAGTTTCATGTTTAAGTCCAGATAATAGTTTGAGCGCAGATATGTAATCCCCCATTTGGAAATAAGCCCAAAGAGTTTTAAAGCGTAAAACAAAATGGGTGCCACCTCCATAAACTCCTGTGTGTTCGCTGCAGCCGGCTCTCGGGCGCATCCAATTTCTAATATCAACCTTCTTACCCTTCTCCTCTCTTCCTTATCATTCCTATCGTCATTGGAAGCAGAACATTACCCTAAATGCATTTTATATGATCTTAAAATGTGTTATATGTATGTTAGCCAAACCTGTTGCTGCCCTTAGCAGATGAAAAAAAAGAAAGGAGCTTTATGATAGAATTGGACGTAACCAAATTCTGGGCTCACATGCGCCCCGTACCCTGAGGCTGGCCTCATTACAAGTCGTGGTTTAGCGCGATTAAGACCCATATTTGTTGTCAAAAACACAATTTATGAGCCATCCTCTCAGCTGTAGACATGTTGATTGTAAATGAAATATGTTTGAACTTTGAACAACAATACACGTGCTTTATAATAGGAGCGCACTGTATTTTTTTTTTTACTTTCATTTCCCGTTTCCCGTCATAACATTTCCCGGGAATCGGGAAATAGTTTTCATCAGATTTCCCGGGAATCCCGTATCCCGGGATTAAACCCTACCGGCCGTCCCTCCAAACTTTCATCTCAAACAAGGAGAAGACTGATCAGAGATGCAGCCAAGAGGCCCATGATCACTCTGGATGAACTGCAGATAACTACAGCTGAGGTGGGGATGGTGTGTTCAGGGTGATGAGCTGTGTTGCTTTTACGCCAAACATATCGTTTTGCATTGTGGCCAAAAAGTTTGATTTTGGTTTCATCTGACCAGAGCACCTTCTTCCACATGTTTGGTGTGTCTCCCAGGTGGCTTGTGGCAAACTTTAAGAGACTTTTATTGGATTTCTTTGAGAAATGGCCACTCTTCCATAAAGGCCAGATTTGTGCAGTGCACGACTGATTGTTGTCCTATGGACAGACTCTCCCACCTCAGCTGTAGTTACTGTATCTGCAGTTCATCCAGAGCAATCATGGGCCTCTTGGCTGCATCTCTGATCAGTCTTCTCCTTGTTTGAGATGAAAGTTTGGAGGGACGGCCGGGTCTTGGTAGATTTGCAGTAGTCTGATACTCTGATACTGCTTGCACAGTGCTCCTTGAGATGTTTAAAGCTTGGGAAATCGTTTTGTATCCAAATCCGGCTTTAAACTTCTCCACAACAGTATCTCGGACCTGCCTGGTGTGTTCCTTTGTCTTCATGGTTCTCTCTGTGCTTTAAACAGAACCCTGAGACTATCAAAGAGCAGGTGCATTTATACGGAGACTTGATTACACACAGGAGCATTCTATTTATCATCATCAGTCATTTAGGACAACATTGGATCATTCAAAGATCCTAACTGAACTTCTGGAGTGAGTTTGCTGCACTGAAAGTAAAGGGGCCGAATAATATTGCACGCCCCACTTTTCAGTTTTTTATTTTTTTTAAAAGTTTAAATTATCCAATAAATTTCGTTCCACTTCACGATTGTGTCCCACTTGTTGTTGATTCATGACAAAAAATGAAAATTGTATATCTTTATGTTTGAAGCCTGAAATGTTGAAAGGTTCAAGGGGGCCGAATACTTTCGCAAGGCACTGTATTAGTTTTCTCATGGTAAGTTGAAGTATAGAAGCCTATGACATAACTAACAAATCTAAAACTTAATCTCCCTCTTTAAGAATGCATACACATATACCACCTTATAATGGGAAAAATAGGAGTGACGTATCGCATTACTTCATTATAACATCAGGTAGATTCTGAAAAACAGAACAGACTGGGTTTTTTTTTGCAAATCTTAGTAAAAAGCAGCATTATGTTCTTGCAGTGGGTGGAGGGCGGCTTTCGTTCTACATCCTGTTTGGTCAAAGTTTTCACTTTTGAGTCTGAGGCACATACAACGATTTTCACATTTTTTAGGTTTCTCATCACAATGACACCTTTGCTGTCGCTGGTGCTGCTGGACCTGTTCGGCCTCGTCTCTGCAGCTCTGGGTGAGTCCATCTTTACATTTCATTCTGCAAAGTCGAAAAGATGATCAAAGGGAATGTTTAATTCAAGTAATTTTATTTTACGCATCTGAGACATTTGCAGTTGTCCAAAAGTCGCTCCAACAGAATTGAGAATGACGTTTGCATGGGATTTAAAACAGCTCAAATCATCCTCGAAAATTATGTTTGAAAGTTTATCTGCGAGAGTTTGGGTCACTTTATACATGGAACATCACTGTCTTTCTTCAGACCAAAAGTAACAAAACAAATAATTTTCACAAGTCCTCGAGAAGTAGACAAACAAAGTAGAAGAAAAGACATGAAAATAGATGAAGAAATTCAACTGAAGTAAAGTAATCGGTTTGTGAAACAGGCTCTGGTCTTGAAAAGGTCTTGGGTTGGACTTGAAGAAACCTGTAGGAGCCCTGAATACACACTTAAACGCAGTGATCCCCAAACTTTTTCTCTTTATCTTTCTCCCCTCACCCGCATAGACATGGTATCAGTACTCAGGTATAGATAAACCCAACTATTATTTTTAATTAATTCTACTAAGAAGACAAGATGAATCTTCCTAAACTATGGTATCAGTACCGCTGTTGTTAAGGATACTAGACTCATCTTTCCTCTTATACCAAGATCTCTCTTCTTTTCTTTGAGGAATGTGTGTTTGTTGTCTCTATTTGACATCTAAATATATGCATTTTATTTTGTTTTATTATGTCTGAGTTTTAGAGTAAAATACATCAATAAATTAGTACATGCTCGGACTGAAAAAAAAACTAAAAAGCCTTGTTTTTGCACATGACAGAATCCTAATCAGACTACTTTAATGTACATTGAACAAAAAACATTTAAAAAAAACACAGGAAATGAAATGGACACACACACGCACAAACACACAAACACACACATTAACGTCCATTTTACCAACAAGCTTCAGCCTGATAGCGTTTGGGATATGCTAATATGCTAATCATTTTAAGTTTAGAATATAAACATTGCTTTGATTGGTTAGCTTGAAGAAAAAGATAAGATAAGATAGACTTTATTGATCTCACACTGGAGAAATGTACATGTCACATTTGGCAGAGATGGAATCTCTCAGATTTGTGTAAAAGACAGAAGTGTGAAACATGTTAAAGATTAATTAGCTTTCCAATGTAGCCCATATTAATCTCTGACTGTCAATGTTTGAGAGAAGAGCTTTTGCAAAAACAGATATCTCTACAGATTTGATTTAGAAACGTCAAATGTTGGGAAAATAAAACATGTTTTATTTTCTATTTCAGACCCGGCGACAGAATCTCTGGCCCCTCATCGGAAGAACGTGTATCGGGCGGTGACTGTGGGAGACAACGTTACCCTGGAATGTCCGCACGAGACCCAGGTCTTCAAATACTTCTGGTACGAGCAGAGTCTGGGGGAGACGCCAAGACTGGTGGCTAGCATCTACCGCGGCGCCTCTACCATAGTCATGGACACACGCTTTACCGTCTTCACAGACGACAGTAAAAACAACTTGGAGATGTCCAACGTGCAGCCGTCACACTCCGCCACCTACTACTGCATCATGAGCTACTCCATGACATTTGAGTTTGTGCGAAGCGTCACCGTCTTCGTGAAGGGAGCGCAGCCGGACGTCCAGCAACCCTCGCACAGAGACGTGAAGCCGGGACAGACAGTGGTCCTGAACTGCACTGTGCAAACCGGACCGTGTGAGGGACCGCGAGACGTCTACTGGTTCAAGGAGTCGGAGGCAGCGGAGCCAGGAATGCTCTACAGCCATAGTGACCAGTGCGAGCCCAACGTGACCAGTGCGGACAGATCTTGCGTCTACAACCTGCCCCTGAACAACGTGAGCTGGGAGCAAACTGGGACATACTACTGCGCTGTGGCCGCCTGCGGACTGGTGGTGTTCGGGGGCGGGACCAGGCTGGTTATCAAAGGTGTGGCACTGTTTTTAGCTCCATCCATGCTAATGTCAGCTACTTCTGTTCCCTGGGAATAAGCAGACTGATTTTAAAGTGCTAATTAGACTGAAGTTTAACCCTTTAATAGTTTCCTAAAGGCCCTGTTCCAACCGGGTATTTGAACCCAGGACCTTCTTTATGAGAAGCGAGGGTGCTATATATCTACTTGGAACTGAAATTGGGTCCTTTGGTCTCTCTCTGTTCTATCTCTCTGGTCTCTCTTTGGCCTCTCTCTCTGGTCTCTCGCTGGTTTCTCTCTGGTCTCTCTCTTGTCTCTTTGGTCTCTCTTTCTGGTCTCTCTCTGGTCTCTTGCTGGTCTCTCTGGTCTCTCTCTGGTCTCTCTCTAGTCTCTCTCTAGTCTCTCTCTAGTCTCTCTCTGGTCTCTCTGGTCTCTCTCTAGTCTCTCTCTGGTCTCTCTCTGGTCTCTCTCTGGTCTCTCGCTGGTCTCTCTCTGGTCTCTCTCTGGTCTCTCTCTAGTCTCTCTCGCTGCTACTACTTTATTCACGACCATATTTTCTGTTTTCCTCTGTGTTCCTTGAAGCTGCTCCTGCCTCTGTCTACTTCCTGAGTGGAGCGTTGGTCTTCACCTGCTGCCTGCTCTTCGCCGTCACACTTTGCCTGTGTTTTAAAAGCAAAGGAGGTAAAACAATTCGTGAACAACCCTGAGAAAACACATATCAATCTATCACATCAAACATCATACCAGTAATATTAACTCTCCCAATTCTTTTACTTTGGACAGAGACAAACCCAAGACCAAATCCAGGACCATCAGCAAAGACAAAAGTACACAACAAGTCCAGTATTGAGTATGTGTTTGCCGTAACTTATGTGTATTTATGTGTGATGCTCCAGGGTTTTCCCAGACTGGTCCAGTTCATGGCTGCCCAGCAGGACGATGGACAAGGCCGAGGAAAGATGGACGACAGCGGCACATGGAGCGAATGCATCTACCTCAGTGTGCAATAACTAGAGACTGTGTGCGCCATATATATAAATAGGACTTACTTACTTACTCAGAATATATTCATAACTGTTTTCATTGATGTTAGTGTTGTGCTAAAGAGCTGGGAACATAGTTTAATTGGTTTGGATCTCTAAAACAGCGGTCTGAAAAACCAATTTTGGTTCTGGTTAGGAGATAGTTTTAACTGTGAAGGGAGAAGGTTCCAACTCAGGCGACTTCCCTAATTGGACTGTGAGAAGAGAATCTTGTCTAACTTTTCTAAAACCCTTCTTTGTTGACATTTAAGACATCCAAAATTGTCCTATTGAAGTTTTGACAATGATACAAAGTTTTTCTTCTTGTTCAACTTTAACAAATCATCAGGTACTGAGCAATGTTCTGCCTTTAAAACCAAATGTAATGAATGCCATTCTAAAAAAACCTCCACTTACACCGTGCCAGGGAAGGTCTATAAGGTCTCATCCTTGGACTCTGAGGAGCACAGGGACTGGCCTCCTGCTGGGACTCTGAGGAGCACAGGGACTGGCCTCCTGTTGGGACTCTGAGGAGCACAGGGACTGGCCTCCTGCTGGGACTCTGAGGAGCACAGGGAGTGGACCCAGGGTCAGGACTAAACAGCATTTCAGATTCATGCAACTAAAATCAGTCTTCCTGAAAATGCGAGACAGGCTTCTTCTCTGACAATGTTCAGAGAACATTTTTTAAAATTACCATGTGTGTATTGTGCCATACAAATAAACTTGCCGTGGCTGGTCACCTCTCTCTGATTATTCTTCTCTCTGATTATTATTCTGGTTATTATTACATGTATATGGTGTGTTCAAAGTAAAGTGTCAATTCAAGTATCTAAGTAAGAAAGTAAGTAAGTAATGTTAATTTTATAGCACCTTTCTCAGACCAGAGTCAAAGCGGTTTACGATTGTGGGCATTAGTCTCTCACTCCACACAGAGATGGGAGCGGGGCCAGTACAGCAGACACAAACCTATTGTACATGTTTTTAGTGGTAGGGGAAACCGGAGCAACCGGAGGAAACCTACGCAGACACAGGGAGAACATGCAAACTCCACTCAGAAAGGCCCTATTCCGACCAGTATTCGAACCCAGGACCTTCTTGCTGAGAAGCGACAGTGCTAACCACCCAGCCAACATGCCGCCCTGGACTTTATAAGGTTATAACTCCATCCATCCATCCATTTTCTTCCGCTTCATCCGTTGCCGGGTCGCGGGGGCAGCAGTCTAAGTCGAGACGCCCAGACTTCCCTATCCACACACACATCCTCCAGCTCATCCGGGGGGACCCCAAGGCGTTCCCAGGCCAGCTGAGAGACATAGTCCCTCCAGCGTGTCCTGGGTCTTCCCCGGGGCCTCCTCCCGGTGGGACGTGCACGAAACACCTCCCCAGGGAGGCGTCCGGGAGGCATCCGGAACAGATGCCCGAGCCACCTCAACTGGTTTCTTTTGACGTGAAGAAGCAGCGGCTCTACTCCGAGCTCCTCCCGAGTGACTGAGCTCCTGACCCTATCTCTAAGGGAGCGCCCAGCCACTCTGCGGAGGAAGCTCATTTTGACCGCTTGTATCCGCGATCTCGTTCTTTCGGTCATTACCCAAAGCTCATGACCATAGGTGAGGGAGGGAACGAAGATTGACCGGTGAATCGAGAGCTTTGCCTTTCGGCTCAGCTCCCTCTTCACCACAACGGTCCGACACAGTCACCGCATTACTGCACACGCTGCACCGATCCGCCTGTCAATCTCACGCTCCATCCTTCCCTCACTCGTGAACAAGACCCCGAGATACTTGAACTCCTCCACTTGAGGAAGAGGAGAGGGCAAGGCACCTTTTTCCGGTCGAGCACCATGGCCTCGGATTTGGAGGTGCTGATTCTCATCCCAACCGCTTCACACTCGGCTGCAAACCGTCCCAGTGCATGTTGCAGGTCCTGGTTTGTTGGAGCCACCAGGACAACATTGTCTGAAAACAGCAGGGATGAAATCTTGTGGTCTCCGAACCGGACCCCCTCCGACCCCTGGCTGCGCCTAGAAATTCTGTCCAAAGTACAGTGAACAGAACCGGTGACAAAGGGCAGCCTTGGCGGAGGCCAACATGCACCGGGAACAGGTCTGACTTACTGCCGGCGATGCAAACACAGCTCTGGCTCCGGTCATACAGGGACCGGATGGCCCTCAGCAGAGGACCCCAGACCCCGTACTCCCAGAGAACCCCCCAAAGGACACCCTGGGTAACACGGTCGAATGCCTTCTCCAAATTCACAAAGCACATGTGGACAGGTTGGGCGAACTCCCATGAACCCTCGAGTATCCGATGGAGAGTGTAGAGCTGGTCCAGTGTTCCACGGCCGGGACGAAAACCACACTGCTTCTCCTGAATCCGAGATTCGACCATCGCCCGTAGCCTCCTCTCCAGTACCTTGGAGTAGACCTTACCGGGGAGGCTGAGGAGTGTGATCCCACGATAATTGGAACACACCCTCCAATCCCCCTTCTTGTAGAGAGGGACCACCACCCCGGTCTGCCACTCCATTGGTACCGCCCCCGATCACCACGCGATGTTGCAGAGACATGTCAGCCAAGACAATCCTACAACATCCAGAGACTTCAGATAGTCAGGACGGATCTCATCCACTCCCGGCACCTTGCCACCATGGAGGCTGCCAACCACCTTGGTGACCTCGGCCAGGGAGATGGAAGTATCCGCCCCAACATCCTCAGCCTCTGCCTCCAGGACAGAGGACGTGGCGGGGGGATTGAGGAGAACCTCAAGTATTCCTTCCACCGCCTGACAATATCCCCAGTCGCGGTCAGCAGCTCTCCACCCGCACCGTACACGGTGTTGGCAAAGCACTGCTTCCCCCTCCTGAGGCGCCGGACGGTTTGCCAGGATCTCTTCGAGGCTGACCAATAGTCATGCTCCATGGACTCTCCGAACTCCTTCCAGTCCCGGATTTTTGCCTCTGCAACAGCCAGGGCTGCGGCACGCTTGGCCTGCCGGTACTGGACAGCTGCCTCAGGAGTCCCACGAACCATCATGGCTCAATAGGACTCCTTCTTCAGCCTGACGGCATCCCTTACTGCCGGTGTCCACCACCGGGTTCGGGGGTTGCCGCCGGGACCAGCACCAGAGACCTTGCGACCACAGCAACGAGCCGCCGCATTGGCGATAGAGGAAGAAAACATGGTCCACTCAGACTCAATGTCCCCCTCCTCCGCCGGGACCTGGGAGAAGCTCTCCCGGAGGTGAGAGTTGAAAGTCCGTCTGACAGGGGGATCAGCGAGACGTTCCCAGCAGACCCTCACTACACGCTTGGGTCTGCAAGGTCTGACCGGCTTCCTCCCCTGCCAGCGGATCCAACTCACGACCAGGTGGTGATCGGTTGACAGCTCTGCCCCTCTCTTCACCCGAGTGTCCGAGACACGCGGTCGAAGGTCAGATGATACGACAACAAAGTCGATCATCGACCTCCGGCCTAGGGTGTCCTGGTGCCACGTGCACTGGTGGACACCCTTGTGCTCAAACATGGTGTTTGTGATGGACAAACTGTGACTGGCACAGAAGTCCAACAACTGAACACCGCTCGGGTTCATATCAGGGGGGCCGTTCTTCCCGATCACCCCTCTCCAAGTGTCACTGGCATCTCCCACATGGGCGTTGAAGTCCCACAGGAGAATAACGGAGTCCCCGGGCGGTGCACTGTCCAGCACACCTCCCAAGGACTCCAAGAAGGCCGGGTACTCTGCACTGCTGTTAGGACCGTAGGCCGTCACAACAGTGAGAGACTTGTCCCCCACTCGAAGGCGGAGGGACGCAACCCTCTCATTCACCGGGGAGAACTCCAACACGTGGCGGCTGAGATGGGGGGCAATGAGAATGGCCACCCCAGCTCGCCGCCTCTCCCCGCGGGAAACACCAGAAAAGTGGAGCGTCCAATCCCTCTCAAGGTATTGGGTTCCAGAGCCCAAGCTGTGTGTGGAGGTGAGGCCGACTATCTCTAGTCGGTATTGCTCAACCTCCCCCACGAGCTCGGGCTCCTTCGACCCCAGTGAGGTGACGTTCCACGTCCCAACAGCCAGATGCTGTGTGTGCGGACTGGGTCGCCGAGGTCTAAGCCTTCGACTCCTGCCCAGTTCTCTCTGCACCGAGGCCCCATGATCCCTCTGCGGGTGGTGGGCCAGCCCTCCTGTGGGCCCACCACCCGCAGAGGGATGTGGGCCCCCGTGTTCGGACCCCGTGGGCTAAGGCCCAGGCCACCAGATGCTCGCATTACACCAATAAACAGTTACTAAAGAACATGTGACTCATGTATACAACAGTGTCTTCTACAACTTCTAATGGATTGAGGAGGGATTTGGATGAATAAAAAACATAATTTATCTTCTGATTGTTATAATCGAATGTTTGGCCTCTGTGACACTTTTGCACCTTTAGTGTGACCAAGCCTCTATTCTTCTGGGGTAAAGTCTAACTACTGCTGCTCTACTCACATCCTGCACCACTCTGGTTTGAAGCTTTGTGTCTTTGCAGCATTTGTGGTCGTGAGAGGAAGTCCATTCTTAGTCATCGTCACTCGCACCGGTCCAAAAAGTACCTGTGCTTTGACGTCAGCGAGCCAATAAAAGACTGATGTGGTTCTCTCTGTTCTAACTTCTGTTCTGTGGTTTGTTGCTTTAACTTCAGCTCAAGTTTAGAGTAACAGCTGCACTATTCTTGGTCGGTGTTGGTCACAGGTACAGACTGTATCTGGGCTTGTTCACACTAAAGGTACAAAAGTATCACAGAGGCCAAAACATAGATTTTAATAATACGTAGCGTTAGCTTACATCATATCCTCTGGAGAGAACGCGGGGGCGGGACCGCCTCGGACTATTTTTGGATGCGAAACTATTTGTAAACTTTCAGTTATACATTTTGTAAGCAATGCGTTGCTTTTGTACCATTTCATCAGTGATTGTTGTACAGCTAACAAGAAGTTGCGCTCATGCTAAT